ACTTACCTAAATCAAAAGGATCTTCAATCAATTCCACAAAATGGAAAATAAATTAAGGTGAATATTCTGAATATTATTGGAGTCATTTTTATGCTGCAATAATATCAGTGTGGATGCTTGATATACCTCACATAAAGTGCATTATGCAGGCATTTCGAATTTAAATTTTCTGTACGAGAAATATCGAGGTAATGCTAATAAACCGACAGTATTGCTCTCCTGCGTGATGTAAGAAATGCATGGGAATCTTATATTAAAATTGAGCTCGTGGATTGAAATAACAATGTATAACCTCAGATACAGACTTGTTCTACCTCTATCACATCCTTGTACTTTGTAGTTTATGCTAGTTTATCAGGTACAGATAAATTTTTATAAATTGCTGTTACCTTACCTTGATACTGATTCTTTAGTTAATTTTTTCGGTGAAATCATCTGATTGTATACTAAGTGACATATAAATCCGAACACCCATTTTAAATGGTTTTATTTTAATAAAATTTTGTATAAGTACTTAATGAAGCATAATAAGTAAATGATAAAAATTTCAAAATGGTTGCACTGCTTTAAAGCCCTTTGACCTTTAATAATGTGTGGATGCACCCTGATGTGCTACGCATTCTCTAACGCGCCTAGGCATGTGGTCAATGTCCTCCTGTGGTATCTCATTCCAGGCAACCACCAACTCCTCTCGAAGTGCTTCTAGAGTCTGAGGAGGACGTTGCAAAGTGAACAATCTCCTACCCATCATATCCCACACGTGCTCAATTCGGCAGTCGGTCTTTCTGGACGCTGGCCAAGCAGATTGAAAAGAACTTTTCACACAGTAGCCTTCCACCACTTACGTGTCAGGATGGAACTATTGTATTCAAAGGCCAAGGCGGAAGTGCTAGCCAGGATCTTTGCTGCCAACTCCACCATGGACGTCCCCACCAACGCCCAAGTGCCGTCAATTCAAAGGGTTCCCCACACTATGCGGGAGGTAACATTCAGGCATAAGACCGTAAGACGAGTGCTCTTGTCGCTCGACATCAACAAAGCTTCTGGTCCGGACTTGATTCCTGCCATTGTACTGAAGAGATGTGCAGCGGAGCTTGCTCCAGTTCTTTCGCGTCTCTTCCAGATATCTTATGAATCCGGCACCTTCCCAGAAAACTGGAAATTTGCTCATGTCCATCCCATCCCAAAAAAAGGATCTAAAACCGACCCTTACAACTACAGGCCTATAGCTCTGCTTTCTGTTATAAGTAAAGTGATGGAGAGGTGCATAAATCGCGAACTTCTGGACTACCTCGAACGTCACAGCTTGATTAGCGACAGGCAGTACGGTTTCCGGCACCAACGATCCACAGGGGACCTCCTAGCTTACGTCACGCAACTGTGGAGTAAACTCATCCAGTCTCATGGTGAGGCTCATGTCGTTGCTCTTGACATCACGAAAGCGTTCGATCAGCTGTGGCACGCTGCCCTCTTAAGTAAACTTCCATCCTATGGCCTCCCAGAAAAGCTTTGCAGATGGGTGGCTGACTTTATCTCTGGCCGCAAGATATCCGTCGTAATTGACGGATTCTCCTCTTCATCCCACAACGTCAACGCGGGTGTTCCCCAGGGATCGATCTTGGCTCCAACACTGTTTCTCTTACATATCAACGACCTCCTTTCCTGCACGATCAACCCAATCCACAGCTTCGCCTATGACAGCACTCTACATGCAGGGATTCAGAGTGACAAGCCGATCTCTGCCGCTGAGCTAGAAAAAAGAAGACTAGCGACGACTTCTTCTCTGACAAGAGACCTGGAGGCTATCACTGCTTGGGGACGCAACAATCTTGTACAGTTCAATGCTTCCAAAACACAGTACTGTACTTTGACGAACAAAAAGCGTACTAGCGCTCATACAGTTTCGATGGACGGTCGAGTTCTACCAAAGAGCCATTCATTTCGGCTGGTCGGAGTCCAGATCACCGAGGATCTGATCTGGCACGAACACATCTCTTCAATAGCTGCAGCTGCTGGGAAAAAGCTAGGCTATTTGTTTAGGGCTAAGAAGTACTTTTCTCCGCATGACATTCTCACTCTATACAAGGCCCAGATAAGGCCTAGCCTCGAGTATTGCTCACACATTTGGGGTGCTGCCGCCCCGACTACATTGTCCATGCTCGATGCTGTCCAGAGGAGGGCGGTCTGACTGATCGACGACTCTTCTCTAACAGACAGTCTCGGGACTCTTTCGCACCGGCGGGCCGTCGGCGATCTAGCTCTTTTCTATCGCTACACCAACGGGCTTTGCTCCTCAGAGCTCTCTTCCATGATGCCGCCGCGCGATGTGCCTGCCAGACAGACCCGCCTGACTTCGGCGTCCCATCCTAACCGTGTCAAACTTCGTACATCCAGAACTGGCCGATACGACCGCTCCTTTGTCCCGAGGGTGTCTAGATTGTGGAACAATCTACGGGAGGAAGCTTTTCCCAGTTCTACTAACCTTAGGCAGTTCAAAAATCGTATTAACAAAATTTCTTTGGGATCATCATAGCAGCCGCGGTGTTCCGGCATTTAGGCTTCTGCCTGCGCGGCTGTTTTCGATATAGAAAAAAAAAATTGGGGATAAGTCGGGAGATCTTGGTGGCCATGGTAACAATGTGACATCATTATGTTGAAAGAAGTCTATTGTGACCCTTGCAACATGTGGTCGAGCATTATCTTGTTGGAAAGTTGGATCTTCCAGGGTGTCAAGATAGGGTAAAAGATGGGGTTCTAGAACTTCGTGGATCTAACGCTGCGCGTTCATGTTACCTCTGATAAAGATTAAAGGTGACCTGGAACCATAAGCTATAGCACCCCAGACCATAACTCCAACAGTGTGATGAACATGTCTTTCAATAAAAATCTGTGGATTCCTCCTTTCACCACGTCGCCTTCCAACCCTGGCACGACCATCGTGCATGCCTAAACAAAATCGAGACTCGTCACTAAAGACAATACTGTTCCATTCCTGATCCCAGAGTGACCGTTGTCTGCACCACTCAAGGCGATTACGTCGGTGTTCTCGAGTTCAAGGGAGGATCCAGTGTGGCCGGTATGAAAACAAGCCAAAACTTCTCATTCGTCGGTAAACAGTTCGCATGCCAATAGGTCTTCCGTGTTCTGCAAACCATTCATTTGCAATGGACCTGGTAGTGGAGAAACGGTCCCTTAAGGCCAATAATCTTAGGCGGCGATCTTCACGGTCTGTTGTTCTACGGCGGCGTCCAGTGCCCCTTGCTCTTTGCTTACGGCCTTCTCGAAGCCATGCCTGACAACACCTAACCACAGTGTCTACACTTCTTTGCACACTAACTGCAATTGCCCGAAAAGAAAGTCCAGCTTCCCGAAGTCCCACTACGGTCCCTATCAAACTCGCTAAGTTGACGAAATCGTACAGGTCTCCGTACTCTAGGCATCGTAACCGATCGTAAAGGATGTCAAGAACCAAAATCCGCTAACGTTGATTCTTTACCGCGGCTGAAATATTCATTTTTAGAGCGTTAGTGAATTAAAAAAAAGCAGTATAAAAACCGGAATGTCCAACTGATAAGGCTGAACATTTTTTCACTTGTTATTTACAGTAAGATAAATACATTAACCAACTTTTATTAAAATAAAACCATTTAAACTGGGTGTTCGGATTTATATGTCATTTAGTATATAAGCGATTCTAGATTGCACAAAAACTACTGAAAGTTGCATCTTTAAACAGTCAGTTTTTACTTTCTTATTCTCTGGAATGTCAACCCTTGGTCAATAATGTGATTCAGTGATTAACTGCTATTATTTACGAGGCTTGTTCAATAGAAACTCATCTTTGGTCAGGTTAGCCTTGGAAGCAATCCTAATCACTTAACTGACGTTTTGCAATATTAGTTTTGTTTCTAAACGTCACACTGGTCAGTTCCTGTCATTTGTATTTGACTGCGATTTCGAGTATTGTGACCTAAAAATGGCGGTGGTGGACCAAGTGGGGTTTCAGGGAAAATAAAGTAAAAAATAAGAGATCTTGCTTGCAATAATGACATTTATTTATCAGTCTGATATAATTAACACACATTTATGTAACTAGATAGTTTGTTATTCAGCTTTTTTGGCGACCCGTCAAATCAAACCATATTACATTACTATACCTGCTGCTTTAACATTACAGCCGATTATACGTATAAATTATTTCAGAGACGTTGAAGAGCGTTTTAGGATAAAAGAGAAAAGTTCGTCAACCCTTAAATCATATATTTCGGATTTATTCAATAAGTCAGTTAAAAAAGTTGGATAACAAACCACAGGATAAGTTTTAAACGTTACATTAGATATTTTATAGTAAAACAAAATTCAGTCCGTATCATAACTATAAATATGATATAATACAATTAAAATAGTGCCTTTTGACAAAGTAATTGCTCCTAAGAACAACAAATATGCGCGATAATCACTCGTACATACAAAATACTTCGACAATATCAATAATGATGTGTAAATAGTGATAAACAAAATAATGACTGCAATCAAATGCTTTTTCCTTACGTTGTATTCGTCATACTTCACAAAAATTGTACTTGTGTATTTCGTATGCATCCAGGTGTTATCATTCACAATTTGCTGTTCTATACTACAAAAATAATGTAAAGAAAACAACTACAGTATTAAATATTTCATCCCATTTTATTCCCTGTTTTCGTCAATATTTACACTTTTCCGTTGATTATACAGCTGTATAAAAGATTTAAATAACCCATCAGCTACATTTACATAATATCAAAATATAATATTATATACAATTTTATATGCAATTTTTGTAAAGGATATGTACAAGTTATATAGTATTTGCGCAACAGATCTTCAACAAAATGTAATTATTGACATATCGGCAAGTTTTCGATAAAAAATGTAACGGCATTTGTAACAAAAGTAATATATATATATATACAGGGTGAGTTCTTATTATTGGCTCGTGGTATCTAAAGAATTGTATCCAGCAGTGTGTAGACTTGGAAAATATTTTTAATTACGCAGGGTGATTCATAATTACGTGGTGTGCTAACATGCATGGTTTTTAAAAGAAAGAACCACATTTTATTGCTGATTCGGATAGGCGCTACCAAACAATGCAATTTGGTATAATATTTTTAAATTGGACAATCTACAAAAAAACGTCAGATAAGCTTTATGATCCCTTATGTCCAGCCTATCTAATTCCTTTTTAAATTTTTTTCGTTGGTCAAGAACGGAAAATGAACGACTTCTCAAAATGTTCAAAAGGAAGACCCTGTATATTTTCATATAAGGCTTATGAGAGTTTGTACGAAATGTTTTTAAGTTACATTTAACCTCCTTGTAGATGGGATGTCAAAAATGTAACTCCAAAACTTTCCGCGCAAGGTCCCATAAGCCTTATATGGAAATATACAGGGTGTTTCATTTGGAAATTTTGAGGAATCGTTTATTTTGCGTCCTGGACTGCCCTGTATAATATATCAAAAAAAATGGAAAAGTAATTAGATTAGATCTTACATGGTGGTCAAGAACGAAAAATGAACGACTTCTCAAAATGTTCAAAAGGAAGACCCTGTATATTTTCATACAAGGCTTATGACAGTTCGTACGAAATGTTTTTGAGTTACATTTAACCTCCTTGTAAATGGTATGTCAATAATGTAACTCCAAAACTTTCCGCGCAAAGTGCCATAAGCCTTATATGGAAATATACAGGGTGTCTCATTTGGAAATTTTGAGGAATCGTTTATTTTGCGCCCTGGACTGCCCTGTATAATATATCAAAAAAATGGAAAAGTAATTAGATTATATCTTACATGGTGGTCAAGAATGAAAAATGAACGACTTCTCAAAATGTTCAAAAGCAAGACCCTGTATATTTTCATATAAGGCTTATGAGAGTTTGTACGAAATGTTTTTGAGTTACATTAAACCTCCTTGTAAATGGGATGTCAAAAATGTAACTCCAAAACTTTCCGCGCAAAGTCCCATAAGCCTTATATGGAAATATACAGGGTGTTTCATTTGGAAATTTTGAAGAATCGTTTATTTTGCGTCCTGGACTGCCCTGTATAATATATCAAAAAAATGGAAAAGTAATTAGATTAGATCTTACATGGTGGTCAAGAACGAAAAATGAACGACTTCTCAAAATGTTCAAAAGGAAGACCCTGTATATTTTCATATAAGGCTTATGACAGTTTGTACGAAATGCTTTTGAGTTACATTTAACCTCCTTGTAAATGGGATGTCAAAAATGTAACTCCAAAACTTTCCGCGCAAAGTCCCATAAGCCTTATATGGAAATATACAGGGTGTTTCATTTGGAAATTTTGAGGAATCGTTTATTTTGCGCCCTGGACTGCCCTGTATAATATATAAAAAAAAATGGAAAAGTAATTAGATTAGATCTTACATGGTGGTCAAGAATGAAAAATGAACGACTTCTCAAAATGTTCAAAAGCAAGACCCTGTATATTTTCATATAAGACTTATGAGAGTTTGTACGAAATGTTTTTAAGTTACATTAAACCTCCTTGTAAATGGGATGTCAAAAATGTAACTCCGAAACTTTCCGCGCAAAGTCCCATAAGCCTTATATGGAAATATACAGGGTGTTTCATTTGGAAATTTTGAGGAATCATTTACTTTGCGTCTTGGACTGCCCTGTATAATATATCAAAAAAAATGGAAAAGTAATTAGATTAGATCTTACATGGTGGTCAAGAACGAAAAATGAACGACTTCTCAAAATGTTCAAAAGCAAGACCCTATATATTTTCATATAAGGCTTATGAGAGTTTGTACGAAATGTTTTTGAGTTACATTAAACCTCCTTGTAAATGGGATGTCAAAAATGTAACTCCAAAACTTTCCGCGCAAAGTCCCATAAGCCTTATATGGAAATATACAGGGTGTTTCATTTGGAAATTTTGAGGAATCGTTTACTTTGCGTCCTGGACTGCCCTGTATAATATATCAAAAAAAATGGAAAAGTAATTAGATTAGATCTTACATGGTGGTCAAGAACGAAAAATGAACGACTTCTCAAAATGTTCAAAAGCAAGACCCTGTATATTTTCATATAAGGCTTATGAGAGTTTGTACGAAATGTTTTTGAGTTACATTAAACCTCCTTGTAAATGGGATGTCAAAAATGTAACTCCAAAACTTTCCGCGCAAAGTCCCATAAGCCTTATATGGAAATATACAGGGTGTTTCATTTGGAAATTTTGAGGAATCGTTTATTTTGCGTCCTGGACTGCCCTGTATAATATATCAAAAAAAATGGAAAAGTAATTAGATTAGATCTTACATGGTGGTCAAGAACGAAAAATGAACGACTTCTCAAAATGTTCAAAAGCAAGACCCTGTATATTTTCATATAAGGCTTATGAGAGTTTGTAGGAAATGTTTTTGAGTTACATTTAACCTCCTTGTAAATGGGATGTCAAAAATGTAACTCCAAAACTTTCCGCGCAAGGTCCCATAAGCCTTATATGGAAATATACAGGGTGTTTCATTTGGAAATTTTGAGTAATCGTTTATTTTGCGTCCTGGACTGCCCTGTATATAATATCAAAAAAAAAAATGGAAAAGTAATTAGATAGTGAGAAAATATGGGATCATAAATTGTTGTTGAAAAATCCGGTTTTCTAGATATTGCATCTTCGTTTGTGATAAACTTTTTTAGATACCAAGCGTAATAAGGAAATTACGGAAACCCTCTCCCTGTATAAACTTACCCATGTAAAAGATATTTTTACGAGAACATGATGAGATCAAGTTGACGAAGATGGCTTTTTATAATTGATTATCAAATATTTTCAAAAATGGATTTTGTTAAAATCTATCATGTAATAAACATAATAAACTTTTCGATAAATGTTTGTGAAATATATGCTTATTCACAAAAAGCTAAAACATTTTTATAACAACGATAACGCGAGTTTGAACTATGCTGGAGGCATGTACAGTTTTTGCATGAAATATACATACAGATTTTTTATGCAATATTATATGGTTTCGCCTAGATTTTGTTATTAGTATTAGAGTAGGTTTCGTACTCTTCACTTTCCAGCCTATTTCACTATATAAAGCTTTTTTTTATTTTCTAGTTCTATTTTAGTAGCTATTTCATATCAAGTAGAGAAATGGGTCTTTGAAGCTTTTTTTAATTCTTGCAACTGTTTCAAATAGCGATATTTAACTGAGAGCATATTTATTGTCATAGCTTTGAATAGAAAGTAAGAATTTTAAGAACTGCTACTGTATGCATTTTACGAAATTGAAAATATTGGTCCACTTCATTTTGCCAGGAAACAAATACTTAACAACATTTCATAAGTTGTTACTGTACAAGTGGCCAAGATATTCAATCGTAACATTTTTCTTTGGGGTTTCACTGAATGTTTTCGTATTTTTTTTTATATTAAGCTCAAGTACCTAACGTAGTAATCTTCAGAGATACCTAATTGACTATAGTCTAATACCTGAAAAGATCTGCCAAGAAGGAGCGTAGAGGGATTTATGTTCAAGGTAAAATGCTAATATGGGCAGGTCTATGCTTCACTTTATAGGTAATAGTCTAATCATTTTAGACAAAAATACCTCTAGTTTGCGAAAGAATTATAATGCACTATTAAAACGAGACTTTACAATTACTGCGAGTAAATTTGCTAATATGATTAGACTATAATGTAATCATAAGAATAGATATTTTAAATTCGCTGATTTAAGGTTCAAGATGCATTGCTAGATATTAACGTTGAATAATTTGTAACGAGAATTTGAGATAAACTTTCAGATCTTTTTTTAATCGCGTGAAACCATAGACTTGTCCCACTTTTGAGGCAGTAAGATCACTTGTTGTGGAAGCAGAAAATGACTAAAATAGAAAATGATTTTTCTTGTGGATCTTCATAAGTACAAACAGGTAATGTTCAACAAAAATTTTGTCCATGATGAAAACGCTTTTGATTCAGTAGGAGTAGGATCAGCATATGGTTGATAAAATAGTAGGAGGTATTCACAAGAATATCATTCTGTACAATACTACATGTCTTTTTTCACCTAAGTCTATATCTACATTTCTATTCTTAGAAGCACACGTTTGGACGTTTTTGTTTTGCAGAGTATCAACATCGATTTTCTATTATCTACTTGTACAACAGTGTTATATATGTATAGCACGCTTTTTAAACTGTAAAATATATATTTGTCATTTCTATATCTATAAAAGGTAAAGCTTTGATCTGTACTATTGAGGGTCGCGTGAGAATTATACTACAACAGCCGGGACTAGCGCAATCGTTAGGAAAATACGGCTATGTACAGCGTTTGTTCTAAATCATTCACGCAAATGTTTCATACTTTAATAATGATCTGTTGAAAATACGAAAAGTTATGTTCATGATCCGTTGCAATGGACAATAATTTCTCGTTAGCAAAAATAACAGTGATATACAAAATACAGGGTGTAAACGTTCTGGTAGTAATAGGGGTTCATATGACCCATGGTCCAAAAGTCAAAAATGTTTTTTGTCTAAATGGCTTTATAGTTTACAACTTTAAATGCTTTATATCGACCACAATCTTACTAATTTTTACAATTTAATCTAGAACGTTTCTAAATTGGGTAATTAACAAATAAATGGCATTGAGTTTTTCTAAGTTAAGCCAAAATTTGTAGTCAGTAAGTAAGTTTCATTAAAACACACATGACAACAGCCGCGTCGGTCATCGTCACTCTTATCGAACCGGCAATCGATCGCAAACGGTAACAGCGGTTAGTATGTTGTTTTGTTTTTGTTCGCGTACGTCGTCGTGTTGATTTACAATGTTCTCGAATCAAGAGTTCGCCGACATGTTGTTAGTTTACGGTGAAGCTCGTCAGAATTCAAACCTTGCAGCTCAAATTTATCGCCAGCGGGTACACCGAGACAGAAGGTGGTTTTTGAACAAAAACATTGAAAATCCCCATATCATTCGTGAAGGTCATTTCCAACAACGTTTTAAAATAAATATTTGGGCGGGTATTCTTGACGATCAGGTAATTGGCCCTTTCGAGTTAAACCCAAAGTTGTTAGCTTAGCCAATAACCTACCAGAGCTTTTGGAACAGACCTTAGACAACATGCTATTACAACGGAGACACAATTTGTGGTTTCTTCATGGCGGGGCACCACCACACATTTTTAGAAGCGTCATTCGGTATTTGAATGGACATTATCCAAATCGCTGGATCGGTCGAAATGCTCCTGATCCTGTAAAATGGCCAGCAAGATCTCCTGACCTCAAACCGATGGATTTCTGGTATTGGGGAGAACTTAAACGGATGGTTTATGGGTCTGGTAATGAAGCTTGTGTGGAAAGTGGAGGACGACATTTTGAACACCTTCTTTAAATACAAAAAAGTGCAGTGTGGGTTTTAATACGTTCAATAAACTTTCACTCACCAGGTGAAGCACTTCTTTAAACCCCCTCTATCACCCATTTAAATAATGACTATCTTAACGTTCACACCCTGTAGAATGACCAGTAAAAATAATTTTACCTAAATTTACATTGTTTTTTAATGTTGCTAAACTTAAAAATTTCATATAAGTATAGATAGACGTTAGCAGAAGAAGGTTTTGAAGTGGAACTCTTGGCATGAAAAATCAATCACTACAAATTACT